GAATCACTAGATTGTACACCTAAAACTAACAGAATATTGTATGTCAACTATACTTGAATTAAAAATAAAAATTTTAGGGGCACCTGGGTAGCTCAGTTGGTTAAGCGTCTGACTTCAGCTCAGGTCATGATCTCAGTTCATGGGTTTGAGTCCCACATTGGGCTCTGTGCAGACAGCTCAGAGCCTGGAGCCTGCTTCGGATTCTGTGTGTCTCTCTCTCTGTCCTTCTCCTGCTCATGCTCTGTCTCTGTCTCTCTCTCTCTCCCTCAAAAATAAACATTAAAAAAAATTTTTAATAAATATTTTAAAAAGAGTCAATTAAGCCACAAACCCCATCCCGTCCATCAGTTGAGCAGCCCAAAGTGATTTCTGACTTTAATAATTTGTAGACTGAACTGACCTATCATTTTTTAAGGTTTCGTTTATTTGTTGTTGAGAGACAGCAGGGCAGGGAGGGGCAAAGCGAGAGGGAGAGAGAAAATCCCAAGCAGGCTCCACACTGTCAGTGAAGAGTCAGACAAGGGGTTCGATCTCACGAACCATGAGACCATGACTGGAGCCAAAACCAAGAGTCAGACACTTAATCAGCTGAGCCACCCAGGGGCCCCTGACTGACCTACCATTTTAGATGAACTGTTGCTCAGGTCCAGGAAGGCCTGTACCGGGGAGGGAACCTCTCCCAGGCACACCCATCTGTGAATGGCTTTTTCCAGGAGCGTCACCTCTTGGGTACATCTCCATCTTCATATTTGGGATTTGGGATTTGGAGATATCCTCAGATTATCTCCCCAACTTCCTTAAATAGGGGATAAAGGGGGAAAAAAGCTTGGGAATGAAACCCACCGTTTTCCTCTGAATACAAGATTCGAGCTGCTCATTTGTATCTGCGAGTGGTTCTGTTTTATTTATGTCACAGTTTGAAGAACACTCTGGGTCCCATTATTGCTCTGTGTACTGAAGTGCTTGGATTTCTTTCTCTTTATGCAGGTATAGTTATTGATTTTTTGACAATGCTTAATATGAAAAGTTATCAGCCTCCATGCAGTAGGGCCACACAGCCATATACATGTGGGCAAGGGGACATGTCCCATGCGTGTGGAGGAAATCCTGTGTCACGATTGTTCAGCCATCAGACCGATGCTGTTTGCGAGAAGACATGTCACAGGCTTGAACCTGCACAGGATAGAAGTATTCAAACGAGCTTCAAAAAATATTATGTGGCTTAAAAAATATTTGGGTCAAAAATCAAATGTCAGCTCTAAGTGCAATGTTTATAGAGTACTGAGGCCCTGCGCGATACAAATCATAAAAAAATAGAAGTGCCTGCTTCTTTGCACCAGACGGCACTTTTTTTCTTAGGAGCCCATAATTTGGAGGCTACTTTTCCAGCACGAGCAAGCCCAGTTAGAAATTTCCAGCACCTCCTACTGCCTCTGCTTTCCCACCATCTCCACTGGTGTTCTCGCAGACAGCCACCGCCTGATTTTTTCCCCCGGTTCCAGCGACGCCCTGTGGGTCTCCGCAAGTGCAGTGGCTCCTCTTTGTCCATTCTCTACAGGGCTGCCTGTATTCAGTTCATACCTTCTCTTGCATAAAGCTTGGAAATGCCTTCCCTTTTTTTTTTTTTTTAAATCAGGGAGGGTTTGATCGGGGAAAGAAAAGACTATAAGTGAAATGGAACAAAGACTTATTATAGAGATTAAAAGTTGCACAGCTGTTGGGGAAGTGAGCTGAGAACCAGTGCAGCAAGCATCAACCTACCAAGTTGACCATTTCATCTAAAGATGCAAGGCAGGAGCCTTCAGCTGGTCTAGGACCATTGAGGGCAGGGGTGGGGGCAGGAAAGGGCATGAGTCTGTGAGATCTAGAGGACGCTCATTCAGATGTGAAATGTTTAGGAAGTCCTATCCTCTGCCATGTGGGATGTAACTGAAATGAACATGTAACTCCGGGAGACAGAAAAATCAAAATGAAGTAATATGATCAGGGTGAAATAGCTGTAGCAAAATCCTGGGAAAACAAAACACTAAAATCGCCCCCAAACTACCCACCCACCACCAAATCTCCAACAGTTCGGTAAATTTGCTCTATATTTCCTAAAAATTAATTTATGTGTATATTTTAAAAAATGACACATCCTATCTATTGTCTCTGGTGTCCAGCTCAGCGCTATAGCACTGATCCCCTGCTCTTGTCTTTTTTTTTTTTCTTTAAAATTTGTGTTCCTTTCTGATTCTGTACCTGGTGAATTAGAAGGATCGTTTCCTCTGACCTGGCTGCAACACAATTTGCAGAGGAGTAGCGTCAGCGTCTCTGACTGTTCAGATTTCACTTCTGAAGTACAACAAAGCTTTTGGCAAATGTGTTTATGGCTCCTCTGTCTCTTTCCCACCACCTTCTGTTGCAGGTGTGTGCAATGCCGAAGCTGCCCTGGAAATGCCTGAAGCCTGATTTTTTTTGGTGGGGGTGGGTTATTCCTGTTTATACAGTTGGGCCCTGGGAGCTCTCAGTACCCAGAACCTTCCTCCTTAATCTGTGAACTCTTCCCTTAATGGCAGAAGGCCAGTGAGTGGTAGCCCTGTGTGTGTACCTTGAGAAGAGAACGACTTTCAGGCTGAACGTGGGTGGGAGAGGCTTTCTAGCCGTACAGGAAGCATGACTGCCACATACATATTTTATCCCACTAAAGGACACATTCCAGCTTAGAGCAGTGGCGTCTCCAGTTTGTTCTTTCATCAATTCTTATCCTTTAAGTATGGGTTACATTGTCTGTGATCATAGGAAGCACGGACTAGTTCTGCCTGAGGAATTTCCCATGAGAGATGACATTTCTTAAGTGATTTTATTTCTTTTTTCACAGATTCACAGGTTACGAGCTTGAAACTTACTAAAGTTGCTCTTTCCAATATCTATCAATTAACCATGCAGTGTGGTATTTTTCTAGCAAAAGTGATAGTGGCTCCCCCCACCCCATTTTTTTTTTTTTTTTAAATCGAAGTATAGTTGACACACAATGACAGTGATAGTGTTTTATCAGTTTATCCAAGTTTCTGGTCCCTGTTCATCAGACGAAAGGAAAGAACAAATTAGCCCATATGGAAAATGAAATCGATCATTAACGGAACGGTGATTTTGTCAACAGAAAGAACTAGCTATGTATTCTTTGCATTCAGTAACAGGGAATAAGGCATTGAACAGTGAGGTCCTAGACATCATCGATGGAAATGACTGCCCTGTGCAGTGATGGGCAGCTACATAGTGACTCTCTAAACAGATGCCAGCTTCGGTCATCGTGTGAATTATTTAGAAGTTAGAAGTTTGGCTTGCAGAAGAGTGCTACCGAACAAAAACTAATGGCCATGCTAGCCGCACATCCTACAGTTCTCTGCCAAACAGTCGAAATCAATTATTTACACATTACGGGCCAACATAGATCAAAATCCTCAGCTCCAGTGGATTGATGTAAAGCTGCCTTTAGCTTGCTGCCCCCTTTTCTCCCACCCTGGTCTCTTTTCACCTTGCCTCTTGAATGTACTAAACCCCCCTGCAAATTGTCCTCTACCTGTTCCTCCCCCAAATGATCTCCTCTCTAGCCAAACACTTCGTCTGAAAAAAAAAGAACCTAGGGAATCCATAACAGTTCCTAGAACTAGCATAACAAAGCGACTGCTTGTTGACCATGTGCTGTGTGCAAATCATGTCTATAGGTCTTTTTTACCTGTGGTATCTCATTTCATTGAATTCTTAGGGTAGCCTAGGAAATGTGCATTGGTATTCTAAATTATAGGTAAGAAAACTGATAAAGGGGCAGGGATGGGGGGGTGGAGGGGAATGATTTCAGCATGTCTTTTAAAGAAACAGCTTGAGAGCTTCAAAGGCATTTTCTTTTACCTTTTGTCACTATCCTCCGAATGTGCGTGGCTAGCTCTCTGTGTAGACCACTGTTTCTGGCAGGGGTTTCGCTCTTGGCCACGGAGGTGTTTGTCTTCACACTTTCAGTCGTGCCTTCTTCTTTCCAAGAGAATCCCTTCATTTAGGAAACATACGGACACATGATAGCTCTGGAACCGTGGTTTTTTGCTGTCAGTGACGGAAACTTGGTGAATCCTTAGTATGTGTTACGAATGAAAGTAAACAGGATAAATGGAGAGGTATTTACTCTTTTTGGAGATGGCAAATTTCAGCTTCAGTAAATTATGGTTGCTTTCATTATAATGAAGGATTTTTTGCTCTTAATGATTTTTGAAGTTTCTATGTGCCCTAGACACAATAAAACATCTAGAGCAGAGAGGTTTTTATTCTTGTTTTTTGTTTTGTTTTGTTTTGTTTTTTAATTATTGAACCTAGGTATTTTCTCCCCAGTTTGTTTTGTTTTGTTTTGTTTCTTGGATGTGGGGGGAAATCTGTGAAATCATCAAGGTCAGAGAGTTCTGTCATATGTGTATTTGTATCTCCAATTTCTGGCACATGATGGACCTTCAATAGGAGTTTGATAGTAGATTCATGTGGATAGTGAGTAATGGAATGATCAGTAGCCTCAGTATATTTATTTGAAAAATGACAAATGAAAAAGTTCTGAGACAAGGCTGGTTTTTATAAAAGTTACTGGTTATGAGGAGGTTTTTAAAAATGGAGATTACTGTTGAATTGACCAAGAGAGCGTAGCTGTGACTAATGAGATAAAATTAAGAAAAAGGAAATTGTGAGCTGAACACCAAGAAATATTTGCAGTAGATAAGGATGGGATTAAATCAGGCAAAGGAGTCCCAGTGGAAGTGGCTGGGGGACATTTAATACCATGCATGTCACTTAAGGCTGCAGTGAGCTTCCACAATTTACTAGAGACTGACTCTGGCTTTGGCAGGGTGATAAGTGGGACCATATCTCTCGTCTCATTGATTCTCTTTCTTACACAGGTATACATTCACAGCCTCCCATCCGCTACGGACAGAATTGATGTGCGTGTTAAATTTTCTGATTATCGTTTTCTTTTTTTCCAGAAAGCACTCTTTTCAGAGCATCTCCTGGTATCAGCAGAAATGTCCTCCTTAAGTGGGAAAGTCCAAACTGTTTTGGGCCTTGTGGAGCCAAGCAAACTGGGCCGCACGCTGACCCATGAACATCTGACAATGACCTTTGAATGCTGCTACTGCCCCCCTCCTCCATGTTATGAAGCTACCTCTAAAGAACCTATTATGATGAAAAATTTATTTTGGATTCAAAAAAACCCTTATTCCCATAAAGAGAACCTTCAGCTGAATCAGGAGACAGAAGCCATCAGGGAAGAACTGTTGTGTTTTAAAGCCAATGGTGGGGGGGCTTTGGTAGAGAACACAACTGTTGGCATTAGCCGAGACGTGAAGACATTGAAGTGGCTTGCCGAAGAGACTGGCATCCATATCATATCTGGAGCTGGGTTTTATGTGGATGCAACTCACTCTCCAGAGACCAGAGCCATGTCAGTCGAACAGGTAAGAAGCCCTACATTCTTCAACAATTTTTGCTCGTAAATTCAGAAAAGCCAGAACTTCAGACGTTGGATTATCCCTGCGTGTCATCTACATTGGAGAATGTCACTGACTCAGAGGTAGCTGGGCACACTATAGAAGTTTGCTAGCTAGCAAAGACATCTGCCAGTGGGGACCCAAATTAGGAACATTTCATTTCATGAAGAAAAAAAAAAGTGTCAAGGAAGGAGCTCTTAATCCACTGGTCACTGAAAAACCCAAAGTGTTAACATTCAGATTTGTACGTATTGTATCTGTGCTCAGTGGTGGTGCTACAGTCTGTTTGTAAACCTCATTTTTCCATTATAAACTTCAGTTATGTAACCTCGATCTTCTTTTTGGATTTTATAATAACCGGCAATAAAAATGCACTGCAGGGTGAAACTTGGCAGGCAGAGACTTGGCGCATTTGCGAATATGTTTCCTTCTTTTACAAAACAGGAGGGGTGGGGGAAGAAAATCCATTCCTGTTTTTGTTATCATATGATCTTGAGCAAGAATGGGCAGAAGGAAGTGAATCTTTCAGAGAGAAAAAGAAAGAATTAGCCAGAAATCTTTTTTGCATATAGATGTGCTATCTTTCTGTGGTAGTAACGTAATGTGTTTATGCATATTGTATACATTTGTATGTGTCTTCCATTATCTGCATGATAGGCAAAGAATGTCACCTATAGTGTTTGCAAAGAATCAGTGAATCATTAAAATCTTTGGATTTCAAAACCTTACTGCATTGTTTTCCAATCAGCGCTTTACCTTTTTATACGTCTATATTATCTGAAGACTATCCTGAAGTCAGCTATCACACATTCTTCCAACCACTCTTTGTAGTAAATATACATAAGAACCAAAAAATATGATATTAATGTCATGTACTATAAATTTCCTTATGTTGTATGGGATCAAGGAATGCAAAGATAAGGGAGAATTAAAGAATCAGTTAATACAGTTGACATGTTCAAGGGCAATCTTTTTATGTTCTAGATGTTCCTCAGGTTAAATTATAGATTTTTTTCTCATCTGAATGTACTGCATGAAGTCACATCTTTTTCCCTATAGCTTTCTAAAGCCATAAATTTCTTGTTAAATAATCACAGTAAGATATTATCGAGTCTTTGACTTAGAATAACTTGTTGAATTTGAGATTTGGTCTTTCTCATTGACCGATATTAACTGAATGGATACCGAGCACACCTTTTAAAAGCATGAATGACTGAACGAATAAATTTCATTCACTCACTGTGGGGACTCTGGGTTGCTAATGCCACAGTCTACAAAGTATCTTCTTTCTCACTCTTCCTTAGCTTACTGATGTCCTTATTAATGAAATTCTCCATGGAGCTGACGGAACCAGCATCAAGTGTGGCGTCATTGGAGAAATTGGTTGCTCCTGGCCTCTGACAGAGAGTGAGAAGAAGGTTCTTCAGGCAACAGCTCATGCTCAGGCTTAGCTGGGCTGTCCTGTTATTATTCATCCTGGAAGGAATCCCAGCGCACCATTTCAGATTATCCGAGTGTTGCAAGAAGCAGGTGTAGACGTCTCCAAAACAGTTATGTCCCACATTGATAGGTAAGCAGACTATCTCCAAATTAGTCCCAAGGCACCAGATGATTATGGATGATCAAATAAATAATATCGTCAGATTAATAAAATACTAATCACCTAGAGAAAACCACTAACTACCTGGATGATAATATTTATAACGTTTTACAATAGACATTAATAAAAGTCATTGATGCCATTTTTGTGTCCCAATTCTGGGTCTGTTAGTGTTCTAGGTATTTTGTGTAAATAATTTCTTTTAATTTACTGAGTCCTCCCTAACTCTTGATAGTAAGTGTCCCTGTGTACTTTGTCTCTGATATCAGAGTAGCTGCCAATTGTACATGCTCAGAATCTGTCAGTCGAGGGATGACTTTCTCTGCAGATCTAAAAGGAAGGGAAAGTGAATGGTTTCACTCAGAGGAGAAAACCATAAATGTAAACATTCAAGTTTGCTGTTGTGACTGCTGGTTTGAATCCTCTGAATTTTGGAAAAGGCAATTAAAAAACATAATAGTAATGGGTCTAATGATTTGTCTGGCAGTATTCTTAGGTTCCAACAGTGACTATCACAAATTAGAAGACGCTGGGTGGCTTAAAGTAATAGAAATTTCTTTCTCACATTTCTGGGGGCCAGAGTCTCAGAGGCAGGTGCTGGTAAGACTAGACTTGTTCCAAAGACTCCAGGGAACAACTACCTTCCTTCTTCCACTGTCTGCTTGTTCTACACATTCCTTGGCTTGTGGCCGTAAAACTTCAGTTTCTACCTCTTTCTTCACATGGCTTCCTCCTGTCTGTCTGTGTCTTCTCTTTTATTTCTTAGAAGGACACATCATTAGATTTAGTGTCTACCCAGAAAATCCAGAACGATCTCATCTCGAGATCCTTCACTTCATCACAACCGCAGACTCTTTCCAGCTAGGGTCGTTTTCAGAAGGGGAGAGGGTTAAAACACGGACATATCTTTCTGGAGTCCACCACTCAACCCCCAACACATTACATTAGATGTGTAGGAGTGAGCAGAACAAGTGACTATCTGAACAGGTGTTGCCTTTATGAAGAAGCCTAACAGAACTGCAAAGGCTAGACATTAGCATTTGATTAAGGAATTAAATTGATTAAGGAATTAACACAAAACAAATGAGACTAATAATACATTACAACTACTTCTATCTTGCATATTGGAATAAAGCCATACCAACAGACTGGTAGATCCTCATTATCACACTTGGCATTCAGCTATTTAACAAACTAACAGTCCTACAGAATGTACTGATAAAGTACTTCTACTTAATAGAAATATTGTAAAAGCCTACACTGAAAAAAGTTGTTATAATTGTGGCAGAAGAGAGAAGCCAATATTAATGGAGAGACCGAGAACAGCAAAGTAAAGGCAATTTTCCTGGCAACTGGGTTGGTATCAAGAACAATGCATGCAGGGCTATTTTCAAAATCTTCTGGTCACACTGATAAAATAGAGGGATGCTTCCAGATCCCCGTCATAGACATAGGGCACCATAGTATGAAGAAGAGAATCTTTGGACCCAGAGACACCTGCTTTTGAATCTTAACTCTACCATTTGCCGTGAGATCTAGGGTAGGTTCACACAAATTTAAAATAATGTATTTGATAATGTTACCTTGTATGATATAGAACATATGTAGCACCTTTAATCAAGAAGGATGATTCTTTAATACTCAAACAATGTGAAGTATGTTGTTCAAATGAGTAAGATAATATATATTATTAAATTTCATAAATATTTCTTAGGTTCTTGAGAATATTTGTATTCTGCTGCTATTAGGCTCTCTACAGGTCCATTAGACTACCTGTAATTATTAAATTAAATTAACCATGTTCAAATATTGTATATTCCTACTGACTTTGTGACTGCTCGATTGGCTGGTTACAAAATGAAGTATGTTAAAATCTATTATGGTGGATTTTTAGTTTCTGACTGTGCATATTTCAATTTATATATATATATAAAATTCAATTTATATATATATAACTCAATATATATATATATATAACTCAATATATATATATATTTGAAGCTATGCTATCACAAGTTGTTTTTGTATATATATCAATATATATATATATATATATATATATATATAACTCAATATATATATATATTTGAAGCTATGTTATCACAAGTTGTTTTACCTTTCTGGTGAATTGAAATTTATTTCAATGTATATTGAATTGCTTTATCTCTAGTAATTTGAGTCATGCTTTTTGTTTGAAAGGCTATTTTATCTGATGCTAATGTGACTATACTGATCTTTCTGTGTTAGTTTTATGATTTAGATGTGTTTTACATAAGGGGCATGTGACTGGGTATTGGGTTTTACCCAGTCTCTTCTTTTATATGAAAAATTCAATTTATTTACTTTGACCATGTTTACTAAAATGTTTATTCCACCTTTTCTTTTTGTCATAGTTAATGTTATTCTTTCTTGATTTCTTTTATCGATTTTTTTTTGCTTCCTCATTTTATCTTTCCCCTTTAATACTTTGGAAGGTATATATACTATTTCTATCCTATCAGTGGTTATGATAGAAAATGTAACACATATATTTAACATATCAAGTTTTAAATAAAATGAATTTTTTATTAACCTTCCTGGTAAGACAAAGACCCTAGAACCCTTCGATTTCAATCATTTACCATCTAAGTTATATACTATATTTTTCCAGAATGTGTGTCTATTTTCTTTTTCTAATCCCAGTGATTAGGCATTATTTTACTATCATAAGACACATAGATGGTCACTGTGTATTTAGATTAGCCTTTCTGTTGGCTATTTTCTTTGCTCACCATTCACTCTTATATCTCAGTTCTTTATCCTTGAATTTCCTTAGGTACATCACTTGAAGTTCCTTTGATGTGTATCTGTTTTGGTAATAAATACTTAGATTGTATGTACCTGAAAATGTCTTCATTCCTTCATTCATAAGAGGTAATTAAGTAGAAAAGGTAATTTATAATAATTAATTAAAGTAGACAATTCTACTTAAAAGTTTTTCTAAGCCCTTTAAAGATATTCCATCACCAACCTACATATGTTATTGTCCTTCATAAGTCAGCTGAACCTATTTATGTTTCCTTTGAAGTAATCTGCCTTTTCTTTCTGTTTTTAACCTCTTTGTCTCTGGTAGTATGTATTTACACTACGATCTGTCTCAGTGGGAATTTCTTCTTATGGTGTATGCTTGGGATTCCTGGATATGAAAATGTAGTTTTCATTGTTTCTGGAAAACTTTAGCCATTGTCTCTTCAAACACTGTTTCATCTGTATCTTCTTGATTATTTGCATCATAAACTCCAATTTGATAGGTGTAGGATCTTATTACCTGTCCTGCAAGTCTCTTAACATCTCCTTCATATTTCCATCCATTTGCATATTTGAGCTATTTTTCTTAAAGTTCTATCTTCTTATTTTCTATTTCCCTCTCCAGCAAAATCAGTCTGTTGCCTAGCTTATCAATTTGGTTTATAGTATTAAGAATAGGGGTGCCTGGGTGGCTCACCCGGTTAAGTGTCTGACTCTTGATCTTAGCTCAGGTCATGATCTCATGATTCGTGAGTTTGAGCCCCGCATCGGGAACACTGTCAGTGCAGAGCCCGCTTGGGATTCTGTCTCTCCCTCTCTCTTCCCCTTTCCAGCTTATACTCTCTCTCTCAAAATAAATAAATAAACTAAAAAAAAAAAAAAAAGAACATAACACCTGAAACCATACTCCTTTTTTAAAAAAATTATATAAGTTCTCTTTGTTTACTTTTTAAATCTGCTTGGTTAATCTGATAATTTCTTTTTCCTTCAATATGTTTACAATTAAATCTTTAAAAAATATTAAACATACAATATTTACCTTGTGATCAAGAAATCTAATTTCTTTTTTTAAAATTCACTGTTTTACTTTATATCCAAGTTAGTATATGGTGCAACAATGATTTCAGGAGTAGATCCCTTAATGCCCCTGACCCATTTAGCCCATCCCCCCCCCACAACCCCTTCAGTAACCCTCTGCTTGTTCTCTATATTTAAGAGTCTGTTATGTGTTGTCCCTCTCCCTGTTTTTATATTATTTTTGCTTCCCTTCCCTTATGTTCATCTGTTCTGTGTCTTAAAGTGCTCATATGAGTGAAGTCATATGATATTTGTCTTTCTCTGACTGACTAATTTCACTTAGCATAACAGCTTATAGTTCTATCCATGTAGATGTAAATGGCAAGACTTCATTCTTTTTGATTGCCACGTAATACTCCACTGTGTGTGTGTGTGTGTGTGTGTGTGTGTGGTATATATATATATATATATATTCTTTATCTAGTCATATTCTTTATCTAGTCATCCATTGATGGACATTTAGGCTCTTTCCATACTATGGCTATTGTTGATAGCGCTGCTATAAACATTGGAGTGTATGTGTCCCTTCGAAACAGCATACCTGTATCTCTTGGATAAATACCTAGTAGTGTAATTGCTGGAGTAGTTCTGTTTTTAATTTTTTGAGGAACCTCCATACTGTTTTCCAGAGTGGCTGCACCAATTTGCATTCCCACCGCAGTACAAAAGAGATCCTCCTTCTCTGAATCCTCACCAACATCTGTTGTTGCCTGAGTTGTTAATGTTACCCATTCTGACAGGTGTGAGGTGGTATCTCATTGTGGTTTTGATTTGTATTTCCCTGATGCTGAGTCATGTTGAGCATCTTTTCATGTGTCAGTTGGCCATCTAGATGTCCTCTTTGGAGAAGTGTCTATTCATGTCTTTTGCCCATTTCTTCACTGGATTATTTGCTTTTTTGGGTGTTGAGTTTCATAAGTTCTAGATTTTGGATTACTAACCCTTTATCTGACAGTCATTTGCAAATACCTTCTCCCATTCCACTGGTTGGCTTTTAGTTTTGCTGATTGTTTCCTTTGCTGTGCAGAAGCTTTTTATTTTGATGAGGTCCCAGTAGTTCGTTTTTGCTTTTGTTTCCCTTGCCTCTGGAGATGTGTTGAGTAAGA